GTTGATGTATTTAGCGTACAGGCATCATTGTTTATAGTTGGATTGACATTTCTCTAAAAAGTCATCTGATTATCCCGGGCTGCAAACAAAAATTAACAGAAAATCAAAGAGGATAAAATAAATTGTTATTGATGTGTTTCGGGTACCTTGGAGAGCTGGAACTGTTATTTTAATTTAGATGTGTGGAAGTTGGGGTTACATGTATTCCTTAGGGGGGGGGGGGTCTATGGAACTTAATTTCCTGGTCACCACCATAACGCAGGGTATGTGAGCTCAGGGTGCGGCACAATTACTGGTACCCGCGTCAGTGGTTTCACAATTTCAGGGTTCAACAAACGCATGACTACTTTGCATGTGGACTGGTGTGTGCGCCACTTGAATAGCACAGCAGCAAACGGAAATCACTGTCAGATAAAAACATGTCACTAAGGGAGTAAATTTGTGTGCTTGGTCGATATTAAACACTACCTTTAAGACCGCCTGGAGTCTGGTTGCTGATATTGAATTGCTCAAACCGATTTATTCCCATTCCTAGATACTTGTTTATCAAACACTCAAAACTGTTCGGTCCAAAAGTCAAAAAAGTTAAACATTTAACATTTCCAACAATTTTGTTCAACAAGTATTTCATAACACTTCTTTATGGCTATATCATGGAGTGTCCAGCTCGCGAGTAAAACGTAAACAGCTCCTTTTGTACGGAGATTGGCGCGTGTGTACGCGCGATGTCGCGCAGGATGCAGCTGTGGCGAGTGTGTTGTGAATGTAGGACTGTGAAATACTGACTCACTGGTTGTATTGAGCATGTCTACATGAGTATTTTAAACGATCAACTAATAAAACAGTAAAAGGCACTGGATTTCATTCATGAGTCCAAATTGCATGAGACACAGGAAAAATGTTTAAGTCCAGCCCGTCATGTCTTTATCATCCATTTAAGACCGGCCACATGACGGTCTCCGAGCGACCAATGGAAATTGGTAAACTGTCTGCGGTATATTTGAATATCCAATAATGGTTGTTAAAGAAGATCCATATGTTCTACCCATTTAAAATGTGAAGCGTGTACTGATTATTCAGTAGAATTATTCACTGAAATCTTCCAATCGCTTTGCTGTATTATATTTACCTTTTTCTTGTGACGGTTTACTTTCAACTTCATTGTTTTGTGTTAACATAAGGCGACCACTGTGCGGCTGGAATCATGAACTGCTCGATTATCTGGGACAACATTGTGACCCACAGAATTACTAACACACAAAGTCCCAGTTTTTAAACGATGGTTGTGTCGACGGTAAAATTAAAACGTGTGAATGCTCTTTCCACTTGTTACCGATATCGTTTCGTTTATAAACGCGTTTTGTAGACCAATTGGGCGTATTCGAGGCCGTAATATTCCTTTAATAGGCTGTAAACTTCCAATACAAGATCAATACGGGACTGCTAAATCGCACACATGGGTCAAAATTTCCAACTTGTACAAAACCAGCCAAGCACATATGTATTCCCTTAAAGGGGCATTAGGTCCTGAAATCCTTGAATATTTCATACTTTGGATTTGTTCACTTATCCTATTTCAAGTATCAGGTTGAAAGGAAACCAACCTAATGTCTTATCGTTTGCGAGCATAGACGAAAGAAAACCGCGGTTATTTTTTTACATAGGACTCGACGAATTACCCGTACGTTTTTCATGTCGTTTTCATATCAATGGACGATACACGTTGTGTGTGTCCACATACGCTCAGCGCTGCACAAAATGTGGTTTCCTACACGTCCGCCTTTTTACGGCAGGAATCACAACTAGCACGAACAGCCTGATTTTTGGGGGTCGCAAAGTGGACCCTGATATTTGTTCTCGCACGAAATAACACAAAAAACCCACAGTTTTTAAAGGATGGTTGTGTGGATGCTTATATCTTTCTTACGAATGTTCTTTCCGATTAACATCATTTCGTTCAAAACGCGTTTTTAGCCCAATTTCGCGCTTTCCAGGACGCAGTGACCTTTTAAATATTGACTCAAAATTGAGCACCTCTTTTGCGTGTGATTTAGTCCGGCTGCAAATTGCCATTCAGATCTAGAAAGAAAAAGAAAGTGCAATGGTTGGATTTAATAAACATCCTTCTTTTCCCTCCTCTAATAAAAAAATTCGTTATATCTTTGGAAAGAGCATTTCATGCAGTGTATTCTGCCGTGCGATCTGGCATTGTGGCTGTTCTATTAAGTAAACGAACCCCCACAATACTCAACTCCAAAACGCACACACATTCTACAGGTTAAAACCCAACACTCCCACCCCCACCCAAAAAAAATAAAAAAATACAAAATTGAAGCATGTACCGTTCATCAAAAACGTGATGGGTGAATTATCAGGTTTTGTGTATCAGATCAGCTTCTTCTTTCAAAAACTGAAGAAAAAAATAATGAAAACAGCACATTGGGTTGCTAAAAAAACAATTATGTAAAAGAATTGAGTTTTCATGTACAAAAGTGTTTCGAACAGTTAAACATCTTACTGTAAGCCCATGTGCAATTATCTTTCTTTTGTGCAATTTCTTTAATATTTTGACATATTTATGATGCTGGAAAGGTTTAAAATAGGACTGAAAAGGGATGAGATCCCTGTTGACCAGTTGGAAAATAAAAGGTATTTTCATCAAATTTATTTGTACTCTTGTGCCATGTGGCTTGTGAGGATTATGACATGCACAAATAGGTAAAGTGTTAATTCTTGCATTGGTATTTTTTGAGTACAGGATGAACAATAACTTCTCTTACAAAGTTGGCATTTTCTCAGCAAACCAATGTGTTATTGTCATGATTCATGTTTTGGAGGAAAACAAATGTTTCAGGGTTGCATTTTTTGAAGTTCACCCTGTACAGTGGAATTTAAAAAGTGTTACACGAAGGAGAGAAAGGTTAAACACTTACCAAAGAGGGCTGTCACTAGATCTGACGGTACTCCGCTCGGAAGTTTTTATTGCGTTGTTGAATGTTACAAATTCGAACTAACTTAGCTCTACCAGTTGCTTTAAGATGCCTAAAAGGTTGTGTGAATAATGACGACCACAGTTTGGCCAACAGAGGGAGGAGGAACAGTATTTGGAATGCTAGACTAATTCGACAGTACCTCAAATAGTTCATTGTCGTGAATATATACGAGGGAAAAACGATTGAAGTAAACTTGACGATAGCTTTTCAGTGTACATATTTTACTTTGTCGTCAAATCAACAAGCCTTTATCAGAGGTCCATGCATGAAGTGAACCCGACTGGGGAATAATAGCGCAGCAGTACGGTATGCCGTGTGCAGTAACTTGCCATTATAATACTTTAGCAAAGTCAATGCCCCCTGGAAAGTTGCCCTTCAGCGAAACATTAGGCAAGCGTGTGACGCAAGCACCAAAAACTCTTTCACAAATATGTTAACAAAATCGAACTGCAACCACAGACTGTAATCTAGGTACATGTAATAACACAACGTGAGTTGGCAGTTAGGGCTACTTTGTTTTTCTTTGCTTCTTCTGTGCGAGTGATCAGCGCAAACTGAGGCTCACGTACCTTGCCTCAGATGTTTTGATATGACTCTAAGGATCTAGCTTAATTTCGTCACCGTTTTCACGAAGAGGCGAATTTAGTCTTTCACCCTCTGAAAAATCATTAGAAAAAAATCGCGTTTAAAGTTGGTCTTTCTTTTCATTTAACAATTTGAAACGTAGAGATGCATAAGATTTGCAAAGTTTGGGTATCCGAGGAAAGAAGAGATTCTGCTTTTTCCTAATGTAGCAAATGTTTTTGCAGAATTAATCAATTTGGAAAAGTGGCTGTTCGTAAAACCGAAAAAAAAAAACAAACAAACACCCCAAAAACAAAGAAACAAACAAACAATTAGCACATTCGCCTCTGTGGCTGTGAGATTCGCCCCTTCGTGAAAACGAGTCAATACTCGCATATTTTGGTCCACTGCGCGTGATGCGCCTTCAAATTCGCCCCTTCTTAAAAACGCTTTTTATGGCGTTCGCCGGAAATCCGCCCCTTCTAGTAAATGTTGTTTTGTATTACAAACATATCGTTCTGCCTAAATTTTGTGTTTGAGACATTACAACCGGTTATTCATGATCTCTTCCTGCATCTTATAACATTTCATTTGTTGTCTCTGCAGAGAAATGTCTCTGTCAAAGCAAGAAATGTCTCAATGAAGAAAAAAGGGTTTAACAATTACAAATACACTGTAACTAACCAAGAAAATCACCAAAAATCATAAATTTGTTAGTCTTTTTCTTACAATATTTACATTTCTGTGTAAGATATCTGAACTAAAACTATCAAACAACCAAAATAAAACAAAAACAAAAAATCCAAATTTTGAGCAAATTTTCACTGTTTCCATTTAAAAGTGGTGAAAGCTGGAATTCAAGCTATGCGACATCAGACTCCTTTTTGCAGAGCGGGTCACATATGCAAGCCGCGCGCCAGCCAATCGGAGTTGTCTTTACTAAATTGTGACGTCAATTAATTCCCAAAACAGGGCTTAGTGGTTTGATCGGTCAATTTGAATGCAGTACTTTGTAATACAACAACAGCCGGGCGCACTGTCGCGTCACATGTTACAGAGCTTGTGACACATTTTTTTTTTATCCATTGTCTATAACGCACAACGGGTGAACGACCGAAGACCCGACATAGAAAGCGTTCAATCAGCGAATCTGCCCACATATCAAAGACCAAGGCTTTTGCCATGGTCTATTACATACACTGACTGTGACCGGTTTCTACGGAAATTCGCCCCTTCGTGAAAACGCAAAATGGCACTTTCGTTAATTGGGTTAATTTGGGATTCCAATTAATGTTCTGATAGAATTACCTCACCGGGTTTTACATAATGATATACTTATCAACCTAAACAGACTCCCTCTTAAAAATGGTGACCATTTCATTGTTGTATCTTAAAAATGGTGACCATTTCATTGTTGTATTTTATTGGTATTTGTTTCCAGCCATGGCGTACAGACAAGGCATTACCTGTGGTGCCAGCGTGACCCTCCTCATTGGTTCAGCGGTCTTGATCGGCTTGTACATGGCCTGCAGCGAGCTCTCTTGCCCGGCTATTGCATATTCGTATCTATCCCCCCTGTGGACTGGCGGTCTGGTAAGTAAAAAAAGGGAAACTAGTTATTTTACAAGTGTTGAGTCCAAAGATCACGGGGAATGGTTTAATACACGCATAGCGCACTTGTTCTGAATAACTTGCAAACCATATTGGTAAAAAGCACAAGGCCGTGAATGAACACACCATTATTTAAAAAAAACCAAAATAATTGCCTTAACACAGAAAGTACTCAAAATCGTCAGTATCTCCAAGAGGGCAACTTTCAAGCATTTAACCTGCAAAGGTTTTACATTTTGAACAGTAATTTCCCTCTCTTTATTGATACTTGCCAGAGGTACTTTCAATATCATAAGCTGTAATTTTTGCGGCCAATTGCCATTTTGCAATCACTACCTACTCGTGTTCATAGAAATTGTCCCCTCTTCTTGAAGCTACCACAATCTAGAAACTTCCTAGAATTATGCAAACCTAAAAAAAAAATACAGACAATAATATTTCACATATACATTACCATTACAAAGGTTTCGCTTACAGTCTTGCGTGTGGCGTACACAAAGTATCATTCGTGGTCCCCTGATGATAGAGCAAGTAGCAAACGCCACCGTGACTCGCTCTCGGTCAATCAAGATACAGAATAATGTGGGTGAGATGCTATAAAGCTAAAGAAATATGCACCTGTCTCTTAGTTAAGGAAGTAACAGACATATACCACTTTTTGAACAAAAGAGATATCGCTATTTGAAACAGAAATATTCTATGTTAATTAAAAAATACTCACAAATAAACCGCTCAGGGAAACTGAATGGGTGAATTATAACAATTGAAAAGTTGAACAAAGAAATCGACTGCAGGGCTTGAACCTTCGACTTTGGGATAACCGTTCCGATGCTCTGCCAACTGAGCTATCCAGCACTATGTTGGCAATTCCCCAATTGTCAATATCTTTGTTCACGGGGCGCTATTCAGACGCCATAAACCAGTGTGCCATACAGCAATCGCTCCCTGAACAAAGACATTGAATAAATGGGGAACCGCCAACATCCAGTGAATTTATTTGTTCAAGTTTTCTGTGGTTTGTTCAAATTAATTTAAAATAGACACAAATCTATATGATTGGAGACATCTCTATCAAGACTGATATTGGGGCTGAATGCTATAAGCTTTGACGGTAAAGATTTGGCAAGTGTTCAGTACAAATCGACTTCAGTCAAAAGTGTATGGTTCTCGTTTGACTGTAGCTCATGGTAACTGCTTTTCTCGGGATCTTCATGTCAGCAACGAAGTCGGAGAAAGGATGCGTAAGTTTGGATTCTAAGATTTGATCACAAGTTAGGCCTTATGATAAAAAAGAGCATTTTTTTTCCGTCACCAAATGTGACTTTTTGATGCATCAGTGTATTATACTTAAAGGGCCCATGCAATGTTTTTTTCTGCAACCCTTGGATATGTATCTTTCTGTCCCCTTTTACCTTATTTTCAATGTTGCCATTTTCAAGGGTATTTTGGTGCCTTAATTCGTGGTTTCTAGACTAAAGTGAATTTCAAAATTCACTAGCAAATGTGCGATGCCATTTCATGGAGAAACCTCAATTTTACAGGTATTTCATCACCAAAAGTTGCCAAAATGGGGAATATTTTTCCTGAAAGTATAATTTTCACTTCTTTGGTTATTTGTTCTTTGATTTTTTTTTTTTTTTTGGGGGGGGGGTAACAATGGAAAAGAAACCCCCTAAACTCAACAGTGTCTTCCTTAAATAACGTCACAATAATAGCGCCCTTAACAATGTCCAGAAAATATAAGGGAACATTTAATTGTTTAATTAAGGAAGTGGACTTTTCAATAAAAAAAAAACATACAGAGATGTCATAGTTTTCATACATTCAAGTGGAATAATTTCCTGGACCAGTACGATCAATAACCCAAGTATTTTTTTTTTATATCAACACATATGGATATTATTTCGATATGTTACTTTTGAGACAAACCCAAATGATTTTATATGCCTGTAATTCACGTCTAAAATGAATGAGTACAGACTCTTCATTTTTGATTTTCAAATTTGTCAGTTATTCACATTTTATGAATAAGAATATTTGAGTATATAATAAATATCTATCAGAATAGTTTTAAGAAAGTCTTGGGGAGAATTGGCTGTGAAAAAAAACCCTTTAACCAGATAATTTTTTTCTCAAATACCAGCATATATAAACTCTTCCGAGTATTTACACACATTTTCTACTGAAAAAAAGTCTTAAAATTAGAACAAAAACAGCACTGTTATTTTTCCTGTCTTCCGAACTGCCTTACAGGGCAGCCTGTACCTCTTCCTTAGCATGCTGGGCGTCCTAGCCACTATGGGTTGCGTGTGCCTCACGTTGTACGCGTTCCTGTTGGAGATAGGCCTGCTTGCGATGTTACTTACCGCCACCACCACCGCGGCACCGACCACGGTCGCGGCACCGACCACGCTCGCCACCACGCCGACCGATCCCGTGGTGTTCTACTCGTTGTGGGGGTGCATGGCGTGCGTGGCGTTCGGGCTGTTCATCATGACCTGCGTGACGTCATGCCAGTACAGCTGCTGCTGCCAGGAGCCAGTCGTGAACGAGGTGCGCATAGACTTCAAGAAATGGCCAATTGCGAAAATAGGAAGTGCCCAGTTGTACCAAAACAAGGCAGTTCAAATGGAAAGACGTGACGCCAGAAAAACAACTTTATTTATTTTGAGACAGTGAATTTATCAATATAAACATTTCGTCGAATGGACTCTGCTGTTTGTGCACATGTGCCATACATATGGTGTATAGTCAACGTCGAACGCCCCCACTCCTAAAAAACAAAGTGCTACAAGCACTAATGCCCAATTCTGTTTTTACTTGCTCGGGCCTTTCTCAGTTTATCGACGGAGAACAAGACTTATCTGAAGATTAGCGTGCATTTCCTTTCACATCCATGTGTTTAATATCGTACTTTCTCAATGTACTGCAGAGAGTTGTTGTGGTGACACAAAACCAACCAGCCTCGCCGCAGAACATCACTCTGGAAACCACCAACACCATCGTGAATCAGTCACCTACACCCCAGCCGATAGTCCTGAACACCTTGCAGCCGGGGAGCGGTCAGTACTATCTCCAGCAGCCGCACCCGGCAGCACAGCAAGCCTTGTTCGGGCCGCCGGTGGGTCAGCAACCCGTTTTCCTTCAAGCCCAGCCGGTACCGCGACGTCCAAGCGAGCCGGAGCCGCAGGCCAGTGGAAGCGGACCCGCTGACAATCAGTCGGTGCGCCAAGAGAGGTGGTCGGACATACAGCACACCTATGAAGGAAACCCACTGCAAGCGTTACCCGGGCCCCGGTGGGTCAGCATCCGGTTGTCCATCAAGCCCCGCCGCTACCGCGACGTCCAAGCGAGCCGGAGCCGCAGGCCGGTGGAAGCAGACCCGCTGACAATCGGTCTGTGGACATACAGCACACTTATGAAGTAGAAAACCCAGGGTTTAACGACGAGGACAACAACGACCCTCGGTACACCTACACCTACGCCGGGCCTAGATACCTCGAACCCAACACAGTAAGTGGATCCCCCACACCGAGGGACAACCAACTGTACGAATACGTCATAGATCCGCGTCCCAGTACCGAAACAGCCGCGGCCCCCTTTAGCCACCCGAAGCCCCCGGGAAACAGGTAACGTGAAGATACCGGGAAACGTTCAAAAACTCCCAAACGAAGGAGGTAGCTGATTTGTACCAGCACTGACCGGGGGATATTGAATTGAATTGCAAGTCAGGTTCTCGGACTTTACGTTTCCTTGAACAAAAAATCCTCCAAACAACAGATTGGTAAAATGGAAAATGGTCCAAATGACTAACAAACCTTTTTAAAGAGAAAACAAGAAGAAGAAATAAAAAAAAACAGCATCCAAAGGGAATGAAACTCACACCATCGGAATTGTCCACTCGATCGAGGTGGTAGTATATTAATTGCAATTGACCTGCATTTGACCCGGTATTTGCGCGCATTGGCAAACTCTGGTCTTAACAGCTGCAGCCAGAGGTATTTATACATAGGTTAGGTCATGATAAGTTACCCAGAATGCAATCCCTACTTCCTTCACAAGAGTATGTGAAGCTCATCAGCGTGTCCCAGCGCCCTGTTTGCAGGGCGGGGGGGGGGGGGGGTACGAACGAAGATGGGCCTTATGCACGAGTCGGCCATATTGACTTGAGAGTGAGATAAAATCTTAATTTGTGGAACTTGCATAGAGAAATAAAGGCAATTACTAAATAATTCAAGTATGCTTCAATTAATTATTTAAAATTTTGTAATAAAACATTCCTTAATGTTTAAAGCAAGATAAAAGAGGACAATAAAATAAGGCTTGAAAAAATGGTCTGGCGCCATCCCATTCAACAGTTAGCAATTAATAAAATACATTCAGGGAACTCAACAAAAATGGCCAAATCTTACATAAGGCCCATTTCGCCGTGGGTTAAACCGTACCCGTGGCGCCATATGTACAGTGCATGCCCAGTTTTTTTTTTTAAGTCGAACCGCTCATCCAAACACCTTTAAAACTGACACTGCACATTCTGTGTTCCTGAGCAACACACCTGCCGATTTTCAACTTACAGTTGCAGTTCTCGAAATACAGATAGACAGACAGACAGACAGACACACTCCCATCTTTGTACCGGCATTCGTCGACCCCCCTGCTGTCGGTAATATTCATTCCTTTTTTGTACTTGAACTTTTTAGCAACAGCTCCCTTTCGTTTTGTACACGAATTTCAATCATGGACTATCGGTCAATTGTGGACGTATTGTTTGTGCCCTTACCCTTTTGTTCTAGGTCCACGATTGTCAGTTTTTACATACTCACAGAGACATACAGATTCCTGGATTTATAGTAAGACTATGAATGTATATCGCCTTCCAGCATAATTCTATATATATAGTAGAGAGTATGTGGTTATGGAAAAATATGTCTCGACCGGAGGTCTTTACTTCTACATTAGAACCGTGACACGTTGACATACAGTGCACGGACAAAATCTCGTTCCTACGAAAAGATGCAGGCGCGGATTCAGAGGGATGATTTGGTGGTCAGCCCCCCCCCCAGCTCTGACTCATTTTTGTTTCAATATGAATATATTAACAATAATATGCTACCCCCCCCCCCCCCCCCGCTCAGATACCCAAAAGAATACATGTACTGGCAATAATATCCGCCTGTGCAAACAAATATGACAGAGCCAGCTGGGTATTTACTGGTGCATTTGTACACCATTCTGTAATAAGGTGTTAATGATCATCGGACTTGAACAGCGCCCCAATTAAATGGTACGACCCCCCCCCCTCTCAACCCCACCTATTGATTTCACGGAAACCAAGTGTCCGGGGAACAAAAAAAAAACCTGTCAACATTTTACCACTGATTTGCTGATGAGAACCCCCCCCCCCCCCGCCAAAAACCTGGATCCGCCCCTGCTAACGCACGCGAAGTGATAATCTTTGCATGTAAATTTGCGTTCATCCGGAGGTTCCAATTTTACAAGACCAAAAGCAAAACATCTCTTGACCAGGAAAGTGGACCAAAAATAATGATGTCAGAGGTGATGGAATTATTAGGCTACGCATTAATGGCTAAACTTGAATAACTGTGTATATTTCGAATTGCCATACATTGGCGTGTTGGTTAAACCTAAGTATCATATAGGCCTACCCAGTCGTTTCGGGTTGTGACATGTTCTTTAAAAGATTTTATGTGACAATGCTGTAAAAATGACTTGTAAATTTAAGATTTTATTCTTTCTTCTATCGATTCACCCCAGCCTCCTAGGCCCTTTTTGATAGGAACCATCCTTAATCTTCCATAACACTCCAAAATATTGCACTTATTTTCAAATGAAGGTTACGCAGCGCCTTAATCCTTCAAATTCGTAGACAGTCCTGCCTCTCAAAATGCATTTAATTTCAATCCTCCTAAGTCCTCCTCTTTGGACACCATTCATCCTCAATCCTCCCAAATTTTTCAAAATTCGTCAGGATGATTTTGGAGCATTGAGGTGGGTTAACTCTTTTAACCCTGCGCAGCGTTTACAAAAAAACTTTACAACAACTCGTCAGGGCAGCAGGTACTTTTCCGCACTACGCAAGACCCTATTCAAAGCAATACAACAAAAAGCCACGTGCCAGACAGTGTCCTGACAGTTGCCAGACAGTGCGCTGGAAAGATAATTGACTGGCGGCTGTGGTATGCAGTTATGAAGGGAGATGACTGTGTCAAGTTACATGTCTTTGTTGATTTTTTAATGAGACTTGGCAGGACGCCGGGTCGAAAGTTTGTTGACACGGCCTGGGTGTAGCCCTGGCTGCAAAGTTCATTGAACCAACTTATTTGGCAAGGGTCGAATTAGATGGAAGGTGACCGTCATTGGCCCTCATTTTTTGTTCGCAAAAAACTCGGTTACCTGGGGCCCAAAGGGCAGCAGGTCAAAATGAAAATGTTTAGATTGTTAATTGTCTGGACCGAGCCAGTTGTTTTTCCAGCAAATAACTGCAAGATGCTGCCAACATTTATATCAAAACTGAAACTTCGGTGGTAAAGAAAAAAAAAAACCCAAACCCCCAAAAAACCACAAAGTAAAGTTAATACCATTAATTCGCTGGTGATGACCACGTCATCGTACTACTCTACATTGTTTAACATAACATGTTATTATTTCGGTTTTTAATCACTGAAAATTTTGTTTGTATAGTTACCGTTCATTAACTGGCGATAATCACGTCATGTTACTGCTCTACATTGGTGTATGTAACAGGTTTTTATTTCGGTTTTAACAACGGTAGTTTGGTTTGTACAGTTACCATTAATTAACAGGTGATGATCACGTCATTGTACTAATCTACCGTATATAACAGGTTATTATTTTGGTTTTTAAATACCGATAGTTTTGGTTGTACCGTTACCATTAATTCACTTGTGATGATCACGTCATAGCACTACTCTACATTGTTGTATATAACATGTTATTATTTCGGTTTTTAAACCCCGATAGCGTTGGTTGTACGGTTACCGTTGATTAACTTGTGATGATCACGTCATTGTACTGCTCTACATTGGTATGTATAACAGGGTATTATTTCGGTTTTTAAACACCGAAAATTTGTTTGTACAGTTACCATTAATTAACTGGTGATGATCACGTCGTTCTGCTGCTCTACATTGGTATAACTCATCATTATTTCGGTTTAGTTTAACACCAATAGTTTTGGTTGAACAGTTACCATTAATTAACTTGCGACGATTACGTCATTGTACTGTTCTACATTCGTGTATATAACATGTTATTAGTTCAGTTTTAAAACAATGATAATTTTGTTTGTACAGTTACCATTGATTACCGGTGATGATCACGTCATTGTACTGCTCTACATTCGTGTAAATAACATGTTAGGCGAAGTAAAACAATAAACAAACAGACATGTTTCTCGTCCCCGCCCGCTTCCTTTTTGGAGCCCGCCTGGATTTTTTTACTATTTTTTCATTTTGAAAAATGCAGTAAAAGAACACCGAAAAAGTCCACAAATTCATCGGAAAATAAATTGTTGACCAATACAAGTCTAAATGACACTGTAAATATGTTCAGTTCTCTTGTCCAACTTTTCTTCATTTTAAAAGTATCTTTGAACAGTGGAAACACCAATGGTTGCAGAACAATTTTAAATGACGGCCATCTTGAAACGAATAAAAAAAAAAAAAAAAAACCGCTTCCTCCTTTTTTTCAAAAACCCGGACAAGAAACATGTTTTTTTTTTCATTCGGCCTTATTAGTTCAGTTTTAAAACCACGATAATTTTGTTTGTACAGTTACCATTAATTACCGGTGATGATTACGTCATTGTACTGCTCTACATTGTTGTAAAACAGGTTAATATTTCGGTTTTTAAACACCAATAGTTTTGGTTGTACAGTAACCATCAAGTAACTGGCGATGATTACGTCATTGTACTGCTATACATTGGTCTAATAACAGGTTTATAAACAACGATAGTTTGGGTTGTGCAGTTACCATAAATCCCTTCGCGTGCTAATTTTTGGCGCTGTGATATTAGACGGCTGCATGGAATCAATCCATGACACAATGTAATTTGAGCTACCCGGCCCTCAAAGTCCACCATTCACCCCAGATTAACCCTTGGTATCACTCCGGCCCTATAAACAGTCAATAAAACCAGACACTAACCTCCTCAATGCCATTTGACAGTTCCATTTTGGCCACAGGGGTGATCGAGGTAATCCCTATGTCAATGCATTTGTACACAAGCCTATGTAATTGCGCACAAGCACACTAGGTTTTCCCGCCAATTTCCAACCCCTCCAGTAGGATCACAAGACTTACACCCCCTCTAGTGGATGTACCATGGTCCATACTAGGATCCAGTGATAGATGACCTGGGCATGGCTACCACGTGGCTGGGACAATAAAAAACAAAGAAATGTGGAAGTGAGTTTATTCACACTGACTCCATTAACCGGTGATGATCACGCCATTGAACTGCTCTTCACTGGTGTATATAGCAGGTTATTATTTCGGCTTTAAACACTGATACTTTTGGTAAACAGTTATCATTAATTAACAGGTGTTGACCACGTCATTGTACTAATTTACCGTATATAACAGGTTATTATATCGGTTTTAAAACACCGATAGTTTTGGTTGTACATGTACAGTTACAATTAATTTACTGGTGATGATCACGGTTTTTTTTTTGTCCTGGTCATTCACCTATAGGCATCCTACCAATCTGCATAATGTGACTTTTTGGTGTAAACGGGGTGAGTAAAAAAAAGAAGCGGAACCCAAACCCAAGTAATTTTTTTTTCATATTTCAAAACAATATGTTGCACCAAGCCAATTTAGTGAACAGAAATACTGAGAAAAATTACTTAAATTGCTCAATCCGTTCAATTTATATCACCATTAAAACGAAATGACATAAACATCTGTTTCGTCCCAAAAAAATGCAATTTCAAGAATTGTCGTCATAATTCTATTCTTACATCACCATCAATAAAACCTTAGTTTAAAGGTAAAAAAAAAAGAAAAAAAAAAGGCATTTTTGAAGGCCCGT